CATGATACATAATAGGAAGGTTTAGTACAAATATTTCAGTAGTTTAAAACTGAGAAATTATGTTGAGAATATCAACGTGGATCACCATGAATAGAAATGGATGTGAACTCCTATTTATATTCTGATATTTTGCTCATAAGGGTATTAGTGAGCAAATCTTTTCTAATTGACGTGACTTGATGAAAAAGGTACGGATTCTTTCGAGTTTGACATTCTTTTCACGTTGTTGATTGTTCGCGATGAACATGCAGTTTACAATAAACATTATTGAAATAAAAAGCAAACAGATTATCAATTTTCTTATGTCCATCGTGTTATGGTTAGTCGTATATACTCAGAAAAACTGAGTTTAAGAAAAAGAAAATAAGAAAAAAACCTTTTTTTCTACTGAGACAACTCAATTGGCATGCATTCGATCGACTAGAATGAAAGTATTAAAAAAAGTATTTTCTGCAACCGTATAATGAGAAATTGTTTTTTTCATTCAATAGAAAATCATATTTTTCTTGCTTTTTTTCTATTCATGCAACAATATACAAAAAGATCAGTGGTCATATCGAAACGTACAAATATACAACTTTTGTCTTTCTTTTCATGAAAATATCTACGCACAATTTATATTGATCTGATCTCTTGTCAATATATGGAGAATTATTTTGCTAAAATTAATATTGATTGTTAATACTACTATCTGTATATATATATATATATGGGTAAAATCAGTGAAAACGGGACATTCCACCATTGCATTTGAATGCAATTCTCTATCAGTATAGATGTTTTGAGTGAATTGTTTTTGCATAGGCTTATGTAAAACTGTCTGCTCTCTCATATAATTATTAATTAATTAATTAATTAATTAATAATTAACTAATTAAGAAGTAATTAGCGAATATCTCGAGAACCGAATGAGGAAAAAACTTGAAAACTTCAGGATTGGCTCTAGGGTATGAGCCGCATATATGGTAAAATTTTCATCGAGATCGGACTTCAAAAAGTTCCTTCCAAAAAATCGACCTTTCAGAGCCCTTAGACAGAGCGGAAATGGAAATGTTTGTCTTAGTATTATTCTAGGACCTCCTACCATTAATATGAGCCCCTTGGAATCGATTTCGAACTTTTCAGTTCGTTACCAGAGCATTCGATCAGTAGTGTAGTCGTACTCAGTCACGTCGCTAACAAAGTTGTCACGTCGCTAACGCCAAATAGATTTTAGTTTTTTAAAAACCTAAACATTCTCAAAATAATTTTACACTGGGATTTGGTGGCCTTAGGAGTGGTGTCTAGTATCGCGTATTAAGTTTTTGACAATTGTGCAACACTTAGAAATTTTTAAAAACCAAAGTATATCAAGTGACTTTTGATGTCCTTTTTGGTGTCACGTCGCTAACGCTAGTTTTTCGTTAATAACTCCTCTGAACAAAGCTCTAGAGTGTTGTTTTTTTCATAGTATCTAGAGTAAATAGAGACTCGTACACCATTCAAAAATCATACCTAAACTAGTTGATAGTGCCGAGATATGCATACTCCAAGTTTACGATGTCACGTCGCTAACGAATGATTTTACCCATATATATAAAATTAAACACTCGATCGTTATTTACTAAAAAAGTAATATTCGAAAAGAGTAGGCAAATTGAAAAAGAAAAACTTATGAAACAAGAGATACACTTGTATGACTTTTTCATAATATGTACAACAATCTAATTGATTATTATGTAATAATATTCATAAATGATATCATTTAACTATGATTTCATATCAAAATTTAGTAATTTTATATTAGAAAAAATAATTATTAATTAATGATGCATGACCGATATGTTCTTAAGTGCAATTTTTGAATTATTAAAAAATACATAATCAACAAAACAAAATAATAAAATCTTTTTTCAAGAAGAACACATCGACGTACCAATGAGTAATAAAGCGAGAGAACTAATTGTTAATATATTTTAAAACATGCATAAAAAATTATATAGAAATACTAATAACTCGTCAACTAATTTTTTCTATAGGAATTTAAAAAGTTTTGTATCAACTTAACATAAAACTGTGACTATTTTTACATTTTTTATTCAACTAAATTTTTATTAAGACAATGAATTATAGAAAATAAAAATTATCATGTTTTAATCACATATATAGATAATGAAAGAGTCAGCGATACTGGATTCGTCTTGCAACGTTTCTTTATTTATTTTTTAATTTTTTATGGTGAACTTGACAATGAATAAAGCACGTAACAATGAGTCTAAGAAAAGATTTCTTTTCTTTGGTAACTAAAACAAACATGAATATAGACAGAAAAAAAAAACTATGATTCAGTCAAAATGTATAAGTCTCTTTAGACAAATAGTTTTTTTTTTCAATAGTGTAGAAACTCTTGTATTCGACTATTCGCATAGTCTACTACATATATATTGAATTGAGCATCAACAACTATTGAAGTGGGTTGATTGAGTAAAATGGAAGTGCTGCCCACTGTGCCTGTTATTCCAGCAACTGTTGTTCCATTCGATTGACCAGCGAAAAAAAATTGTATGCGATGATTACCTGAGTCGGCCACATAGACATTGTTCATAGAATCACATGTAACATCGAAAGGCGTGAAGAGTAATGTAGATGTACTGCCAGAAACTCCAGTGTTACCAACGACAAGTGTCCAACTACTGGCACCCAATACCCAACGAACAACATTGTGAGCACCATAATTGACAATTAAAAGACTATTCGAAGATGAATCAAAGTAGACACCTAAAGGATAATTCAATTGTGTAGTACCCATTCCTTGTCCATTGTTGCCGGCAACTACAGTACCGGATGTTGAATTTGATAAATATTTCATGACACGATGATTGTTTTGATCTGTTATATAAAATATATTCGCACTCCAATCATGTGTAATACCATACGGAGTATCGAGTTGATTGTTTGATGTACCAGAAATACCTGCGAATACATTAACTTGTAGACTATTTAATGATATAAGCTAGATCTATCGTGAAAAACTTCCCACATCATTAATTTATTTTCTTTATTTTATGAAATAAAAAGTAAGCGACATATTAATTTTTCATATGATAACATATATCAATGATTCTATTCTCTCAATAGTATTGATGCATTGTCGTTGCCTTTTTCTTTAACAATTGAGCTATATTATCATATTTAAGAACAGAAACCCTGCTATTCTTCTTTTCTTAACTAATTCTAGAGTAATTATACAAAAAAAATTCTTTCCAGAATATCAAAAACTAAATTATGAATGGAGTTATAACTATGATCTTTTTCAAATAGAATAATCATAAAAGGTTGATGATGTGAGTAATGGCTTATAATTATCATAGTTGAGTATAAACAAGTTGATTCAGAATCGATAAGATTACTACGATCGGCACAATACATGTGCAATCTGTATGTCTCATAATTGTATTGTGTTAGTGCACGAAGTATATATATATATATATATTTTTAAGCAATAATACCACAAAATCAGAACTCATATTAATACTGATAATCAGTACTCTTTGTGTTCAATGAGAATGACATAAAATGAGCATTTAATATATATATATATCTTATTTCTATTTATACTTAAACTATGAGATTTTGGTCGGATACTTAAAACTACAGAGGAATAATTTTTGCTTCGAAACTTTGATTTTAAGTAGAAGAAAACTAGAGTACTTTTAAAAAAAGTAAAGCCATACAGTATAGATATTTCCTACTTAGAATAGACTATTACTATATATAAATCCTACACTAGTGAAACTGATCATAAATTGGGAAATCTTTTACCATTGCCGGCAACAATTGTACCCGAAGATGATCCGTTGGGCCAAAATAGAACTCGATGATTGTGTGAATCTACTACATAAATATTTCCGTTTATGTCAACTTCGACATCGGAAGGATAGTTCAAATAATTCAATGCTGCTCCTCCTGTGCCATTGGACTGTCCAGCGATTGTAGTGCCAGTTGATGAACCCGTTAAAAACTTTTGAACTCGGTTATTGTTGCGATCGGCAATATAGAGTGTATTTGACGAATCCAATGTCATACTGTATGGAGTGGAAAGTTGAGTAGAACTTGCACCTGCGGAACCTGTAACACCTGCCAAAGTAATGCCAGTTGAGTTCCAACGAAATAGGAAGTTAGTAGCTGTCAAATAAAAGATTTTGTATTAATTTTTTATAAATTCACATTTGACTGTCTGATTATGTCAATATTATTGAGAGTTAAATGAGAAAGAGAGACAAAATTTACTTGTGCTAGTTGTTGTGCTTGAACTAGTTGTGCTTGAACTAGTTGTGCTTGAACTAGTTGTACTTGAACTAGTTGTACTTGAACTAGTTGTACTTGAACTAGTTGTACTTGAACTAGTTGTACTTGAACTAGTTGTACTTGAACTAGTTGTACTTGAACTAGTTGTACTTGAACTAGTTGTGCTTGACGTAGTTATGGTACTAGTGGTGACTGAGACGGTTGTTGCGGTTGCGACACTTGTAACACCAGTAGTAGTGATGAGACTACTAGCAGCAGTTGTTGTCTTGACAGAAATTATCGCATAAACGGCTATCGCTATTGTTCCGAAGATAAGCATACCAAGGAGACACAGACCAATAAGCAATGCTAAAAGACACTTTTTTCTACTGTTAGCAACTAATTTTTTCCGGTTTCTAGAATAAAAAAAAATCAAATGTGAAGGAAAACTTATGATATAGAAGTCACTCGAAAACTGTCGGTTTAGTCTGATCATTTTAGTAATTGATAGTTAATCAACGCTTTCCAAAAAAAAGGATTATAGATTAAATCAATTCGTAGCAAAAAGGCTCTCACTTTTGATGTCTTTTGGATGTTGTCTGAGCAAGATCGGCAGCGAATGACAAATCGATAGATTTTCGATGAGTTCTTACGAGTTTTGTTGTAGACGTCGAGTGATGACTGACAGGAGTTGTTGGGATGGTCCAAGGATTTGTCACTGATGCAGAATGGCTATTTTCATACTGTCTTTCATCGTGAACTGGCACAACTTTTGAGCTAGAACGAGAAGTCCACTGACGCGTCTCTGGTCTTGGAACAATTGTAAGACGAACAGATCGATATGTGTCCATGCTCGATGAGATGCACTATTTAATGAATTCAATTTTCTTTTCTCGTTTTTTTTGTTATTTCATTACCCTCAAATATGAGTTCTCAATATGATATTTACTAAAGAAGCCTTTCTAGAGGACAATGATGTATAGCATTATGACTGATTTCAATCAATTTTTTTGCAATTATAATAGAATACTTATATGTAAACAAGTAACTCCAATCAATTCAATGCTATCGGAGTTAGATAATAAGAAAAAAAGTAAAATCTTCTCACTATTGATCGATAAGAATATGACTGCATAGTACTACTATTTCCTCTAAACGGACAAACATGAGTAATAAACAGATGGACGATAGAAATAATTTAAATAAAGTTTCACGAATTCTAATAAAACGTGCAATCATCCATAAATATTTCTAAAAAAAAATGCCAGTGTGTATATATAACATGAAATCGAGCCATGTATTTCATTTCTTTTTCAATTACAACTTAGTACATACTGTTGAATCAAAGAGTCAATTTCTACATAGATCATGTAATTCACTATCTTTATATGAGTTTAAATGTACATTCAAACAGCTATAATCAATCCTCTATCTAGCACGTGAAGCTCTCAAATGACTAGATTACAACTTGTTTTCTTTAAATGATCAGTAATTATTTCTTTATATAAATAGTCTTGTGATCTCAATCGATTTAATGTATAAGAACAGATTGTCGATTGTAGATGTATTGCAGACAGATTATTGAATAATATTATTTCTCTTTGACGAATGTATTGTCTTTTTCGTTGAAATAATGTCAGAATATTTATATGATCTTAGAAGATTTCCTATTGATTAAAAAAAAAAGAGCACCACTCGCTCATTTTAATCGATGAATGAATTTCATCATGTATTCTGTTCTGTAAAATTACATTGACAAATCGTACAAATGCTGCCCTGAATATATAACTACGTACAAGCTTTCTATTAATATGAATGTAAAAGAACCTCCTACAAAATATTCGACAATGTCGATAACGAAACAGGTTCGCAATTATATCTCTAAGCACAATTTATCCACAAAAACTCATATGAGAACAAGAAATATTCGCACAAACCTGTTTGTTGAATGCTGGATGTTTCCTTCTATTATCGAAATTAGTTTACCTACTGATGGAACTGATGTTTTGAAATTAGCAAGCTTCGATGAAAAATATTTCATCATAATAGATGTTTAATTTAATAAAGAAATAACATCATTATATTGTATTGATTTATATAAACTCACTAGATTATTTTGTTTCTTTATATGTTCCTGCATCAATGTAATCATACTAATGGTGAACTCATGATGTTTTCGACTGAAATGTAGATCATGAATCTTAATGTAAATATAGAAAAAAAATCTTAAAAAATAATCTCAAAAATTGCATATGAAAACTATTAAGCCCTTATTTTGAACTATTTAGTGACCACGGTTTTTTTCTGATTAAAAATAAAATGAAATTGTAGCTTTTAAAATGAGCTATCAGATATATACGCAAGTAGTGCTTATCAGTTGGGCTGGTGAGCAGCTAGTTAAATCAAGCAATCGATTGATGAATTCAATATGAGACATTTATATTTAATAAAGCAATTAATTTGATTTGCATTTACCATTTAACATTAAAGTTTTGACTTCATTGGATCGCTTCTTTCCAAACAGAAATTTTTATTTTTTCGATCAATTCACATGCACTCAAAATCGACTAAAAATCGGCGATTTATCGAAACGATAATCGTTAACTGAAAGTGATTTTTGCACAGCAAAATGTACCTCTTTTTACTTAGAATTTAATGCTGATTCCAAATATGTAATTCTTTTTCAAAAATTAAATCTATACGTCATCGAGATGACGGCAAACTCAGATTCTGAAAATAATTTATCTAAAATCCAGTAATTTGAGATATCAATCACTTGTTTGTACAAATAACACTAAGCTTTTCAAACGAGATTTCATACTCTACACAACAGATTTTCCAAGACAAAAAACAATGTCAAGGATTATTGATAGGTTTATCATTGTTAATTAGAAGAAAAAAGTAAGATGTTATTACATTGTCAATTTTCTCATCTCTCTTTTTGTTAGAAATTAATAAACATATTACTTATCATGTATGAAAAGGCATAGGTCACTCATTTCGACGTTTTTCTTTTCAGCGTTTTTCACCAAGAACATTATTTTCCTTTACTGACACTTACATTGGTTGACAGACATTAGAATATCAGAGATTTTTCTGCAAAACAAAAGACATTTTACTCATTTTATTTAGTAACTTTTTCAAAAATTATATGCTCTATAAATCTTCAATCATTCGTTGGATATAATTTAATTTTTACACGAGATATAAAACGTCAAATTCTATAAAAGAGATTCAAAAATCCCGATGTGAAATTGTCCTATCTCACTAGTGGACAATATAATCATGTTTAACAAATAATTTAAAATCGTCTGTTAAATTCATTACCATTTAAAATAAATAACTTTTAATTCACTTTCACAATCACTTTTGACTATTGAGTTTTTATACATTATATTTGAAAGAGTTCGTTTATAATTTCTTTAATAACATACACTAAGTATACGGAAGTCATAGCACACACAAATATGACATTTTGTAGTAGCATATTCCGTTGTTTTTTAACACATAGAATTTGTAAGATACCATAGAATAAACAAGTTTTTATTTCCTACGTCATGATTGATTGAAATACCTTTTTCTTTGCTGGTTAAATTCTCGATGATTACATCACTATTTTGAAAATATCGATTTAAATGAAAAATTTTCTTATGAATAGAAACTAAACCCCTCCCCGCATTAGAAGACCCCCCCCCCCCATAATAGAAGACCCCCCTATATTAGAAGACCCCCTTTAGCAAAAAGTTTGAAAGGCGTATTACAAGACCCGGGTCTTCTTTTTTAAGAATAAATTTTCTTCTGTTAGCCGAGTATATATAACAAAATTTCGTATATCAGAATTTTCTACTTCCATTCTCTAAGAAAAATATTCTACGCAAGGTAAAATATCGGACGAAGAAACAGAACAGTAACGCATCACTTCCATTCATGAAAGAACAAATAGAGAAATGACCTTTATTGTTCTTTCTGACTGAAAAAACAAAAAAAGAGAAACAAATTACTTTCCTTGTTCTTTTCGACTGAAAGAAGAACAGACAAGTATAAATTGTATGTTTTTAATCATAACAAATAACAAATAACATGTCGATGAACGACGGTGAAGTACATCTATTACCTTTAATTGATAATAATGATTTCGATAATTCATCAAGTGAATCAGAAGATGATGATTCTATCGAAGTCGTGTCAAATGTGGATGAAGAAGAAAATAAAATTATTGATATGACAAAATATTTAACATTTAGCTCCGATGATGAATCGGAAATTGATGATAATGCTAATGATATTACATTACTTGATAATCATATTATTCATTGTTCTAACATTAATGATCGTACTCAAAGTTCTGCACCTGATGGTACATGTTTAGATTCTGGTTCTGATGTATCAGATGATGATGTAAATGAACACCATCCATCCAATGAATGTGCCACTAATTCAACATCATATTCATTACCAGTTACAACTGATGTCAGTGAATCGAAAAATGATACCAAAAAAACTTCAAAACGTAAACGTCGTCAGTGGTCGATAGTTGAAAAGCTTAATGCTATTAATACTTTTAAATCCAATGGAAGTAAACATCGAACTGCCGTTGAACACGGTTGCACAACGGCTCAATTACGAAAATGGTTAAACTGTGAAAATGAATTACTCAATATTGTAAAAAGTAAAAAAGGTTAGCCATTGTAATTAACTTTAATAAAAAATATTGAATTTCATTATCTCTAAAACATTCTTGTTGTTATTTATAGGTCGTAAACGACGTAGATTAGGTGGTGCAGGGAAAAAGTTAAAATATATTGATCTTGATTTAAAACTATTAGTCTGGTTTCGTGAACGAAGAGGTAAAATTGATTCAAACTCCACCACCTGCAACAACAATTTAAATATTCCACGTGAAAAAGTTACATTAAAACAGCTTCGACGACAAGGTGTTAAATTAAGTGTTGAATTAAATCATGAACCACCATCATGCAAATGGTATTATCGATTTTTGTCGCGTCATAGATTATCTCTTCAGCGTCCAAAACGTCAACAAAAAATTCCTTTAACAGATGCATATAAACATGCTACTTCATTTTATTCTTACATACGTCGTGCCAACAAATGGGGTCCTAAACGAGGACCAATGGGAGCTTTTACACCACGTGATATATGTAATATGGACGAAAGTCCTCTTGAACTATTTGGTGATCAAAGCAAACGTAGTATTAATGATATAGGTACATCAAATGATATTGAAGGTTATTTAACCAATAAACGTTTTGCTACATTAATTCTTACTGTATTTGCTGAAGATAATTCTCGAGTAGGTCCTATTCTGCTTTTTAAAGGCCAAGGTCGTGTTGCAGCAACAGAAAAAGGTCAATATGCTCAAGGAGTTCATGTGTTTTTTACACCAAAAGGCGTAATAAATGGTACAACAATGGATCGTTATGTACAATTATGGTGGTCGAAAGTAAGAATTGTTTGAAAATTCATACAAAATAATATGACATGAGTTTACGTTTATAGGTTAAAGATCCTCATCCAAAGTTAATGATTGCTGATAGTGCAAATTCTCATCTAAATGCTGATGTTATTCGTGATTTACGTAAAAAACGAGTAGTAGTTGCTATTATACCAAAAGGTTGCACCATGTATGTACAGGTGCTTGATGTTTCTGTTTTTTCAGTTTTTAAGAATCATTACGACGATGTTGTCGAAGAATATATTGATCACAATGGACCAAGAAGTAAAATAAAACTTACAGCATCTCAATCACGTATTCTTTGCACCAGATTTACATGGTCTGCATGGTTACGAACATTAAAAACTATCGATTTTCGTAAAGCATTTCGAGATATTGGTTACGTCTGGTCAGATGATTCACCTTTTTCCCTTCTTACAATGCCTGGCTACACATTTGATCCAAGTTCGGCTGACTGGGTATCGTCAATGAATGATGAGAACGACACAGAAGATCGTATTGATATTGTCGCTGATAAAGCATCAGAGCAACAACAACATACTCAATCATTAGCTACACGATCAAAACAACTAACATTATTTAATATGTGGAAAAAATAAAATGTAGCTGTTGTTTGTATGTAATATTTATTTTGTTCGTATATAACGAAAATAAAGTATCATAAACAATGAAGACTAGAATTTGTTTTTTTTCATAGAAATTTCTAGCAGATGACGGTTTAGAAGATCCCCCGAAATAGAAGACCCCCCATAGCAAGTTGCCATACAAGGACGCATTAGAAGACCCGGGGTCTTCTATTACGGGGGGGGGGGTTTACTCTTTTTCAATCTTATTTACGAAAAATAATGTCAATTTTAGAAATTATTATCAAATCTGATTGAACTTAATCATATCAGATTTGATCAATTTCTACAGCTAATTATATAAAGAAAACAAAATTTGATGTTTTATTCACCGAAAAAAAAAGATTTTCTTTAGAAATAACTTGAATTTTTCAATTAGTTTTTGATCAAATATGAGAGTTCCACTTTTCAATAATAAAGTAATAAAAATAAGAAATTTCAAATAGAATCCGGTTGAATAGCATAAATCAATAATTAAGTAAATTCAATCTTTTTGATCAAGCAAACCCGATTAAAATTCATTTAGAACAGCAAACAAATCAAATTCTTTTCTTTTCTTTTCTCAACACAAACTAATTGAAATAAATTTCATAGAAAAATTATTGTTTTCTTCAACTTTTTCATAATCATTTCTCTCAGAAAAATTTCTCAATTGGATTTTTTATCGAAGGGAAGGGATATATAAGTCATCTGATGAGACTTTTAACCGAGCCGAAACACGTTGTGGTAGCTATTAAAAGTTCTTCAAAACATTGAAATTTTGTTAAATTTATTACAAAATTCACCCTCACACCCTCACTGAATCTTAGCAATATTCTTGAATCTGTGACTCACAGCAATGTAATAAAAGTAAGTTTCCATCTCACAACTTTTAAAAAGATTAGTTGACAAATCATGAAAGTATTTTCGAAGCAAAATCTTTTATCTGCTCTCTCATATAATTCTACTTATCTCGAGATGAGCATCATATTCTCCTACTTATTCATCTGTTCAATTCTACATTCAGTAAACAACAGGGTGATAAGAACTGCGCAAAAAACTCTTTTCAGAACATGTAGCACATGATTTGTCTATATTGAGAAACTTCTGTGAGAGAATGGTGCAGATAGGTATGAAAGAAACGAAAAGAAAATGAAGGTCACTGTGTTCTTTTCTAATGCATCAGTCAAATGTGAAGCTCCAGCAGCTTCAAAAACGTTGTTGTGGAGGTTCAGTGTCGTGAATGTCTATGTGAAAAAATGAAGATCACTGTGTTATTTTTCAATGTATCAGCCAGATGCTTCAAGTCTTCGTCTCCAATTTTATCCTTCCAAAGATACAATATAGCGAGTGTTTGTGTAGAAAAATGAAGATGGATATGAAAGAGATGAAGAGAGAAGGAAAGTCACATTGTTAGTTTGTGATGCATCAGCCAAATATTGAGCACCTTTGTCTCCGATTCTATTGCTTCCACGATGCAGTTCGGTGAGTATCTGAATGGAAGAGTGAAGATAGATATGAAAGAGATGAAGAGAAAATGAAGGTCAGTTGTTAGTTCCTAAGGCATCGCCCAGATGTTTGGCTCCTGCGTCTTCAATGTAATTCATCCAGAGAATCAATGAAGTCAATGCCTATGCAGAAAAATGAAGCTGGATGTGAGATCGACGAAGAGACGATGAGGGTTACCGTGTTATTTCACAATCCATCAGCCAGGTGCTGGCCTCCTTTGTCTCCGATTTCATTACTTTGAAGGTTCAGGTTGGTGAGTGTCTATGTGAAAAAAGTGAAGATAGATATGAGAAAGATGAAGAGAGAACAAGAATCACTTTGTTAGTTGGTAAGGCATCACCCAGATATAGGGCTCCTTCGTCTCCTATGGTTATTGATGGGGGTGAGGTATGGGTGAGCGTGGGTGTGAAGAGAATATCCACTCTGATAGCCACCCACACCCTCACGTTTTTTGTCGATTCCGATATTATCAAAAGTTGAATTACCTTCTGTTGATTCGATTATGGAATCCTCATTAATCTTTTCAGGACGTATGGGGTCATTTTTCGATTCAGAATCAGACATACTTTATAACTTTGTTTAAATTAATAACTGTGGGATATACAAGTTTTTGTGATGTACAACAAAGACATCCGATATGTCCTTGAATTTACAAAAGGGGTTATATGATGGAAAAATACCCAAAATATGAATACAACTTAGTTCAAATAATGATAAAGTTATTAAATTAATTGAATATAAGGGGAAAGAAATTTTGTTATATAAATGAAAATATGTGTATATATTTAGGTATAAGTATATATAGTAAGGAATATGTGTATATAGTTAGGTATATGTGTATATAGTTAGTGAAGCTAATACCGATCAAATAAATTTTTGCCCAACTTCTCCACCAAAAATATTATGTTTCTTTCTACTTCCAAATCTCCTACCCACAAAATGTTAATAGGTCAAAAGAAATCAAAAGAAAACTAGGATCGGTATTAGCTAGGTTAGTTATGTTAGTAATCCTACCGTATCTTGTAACTGGTTATAAAAGAGAGGATAACATAGGTTCAGAATAAGGACGTGTAGTTTATTCAAGGAAGATGGGTGACCTCGATAATACAAAACACACAACCTAACAACGAGATAATAATTGTTCATCTAATTGGACGAGAGAGAGAAAAAAAGAAGAAATATATATATATAATAATATCAATAATAATATGGACATATATATGTCCGAGAAATATCGAACCTCACATAGGCTACGTAAAGGAGAACGAAAAAAAAAAAGTGAAAAAGTTAGCGGCAACTACGTAATATCTGTTGACGCTAACATCCCCTAGATAAAAATAATTTGGCATGCAAAAATAAACACCTCTATAATCAATGTTTAGAAAAAAAATATGCAAAAAATCGAAAAAGATCTAGACCGGTCGATAAGAAATCTTAAACGGGATCGGACCGGCTATTTGTCGTTACCGACTGCAACACTTGGATTCCGAACGACTTTCAGTAGCTAAATGACAATAATCATTGCAACATTCTATTGGTCCAATATAAGGACATTTCGTTCACTTTGACTTCTTTTCCAATTGGTTCGTTAATGATTGGTCCGTTAATGAAAGCTAAGTTACAAGGGCATTTTTAGCACAGTATATATACTCGTGTCAGGATAGCAGCTGACACCAAATCATTTTACTTACTTGTATTTAAAATGAACACTACCAACGACGATCAAAAGAAATGTGCAGTCTGTCCATCAAATCTTACGTGCGATCAAAAGCCAGCCGGAACGCGTTCCAAACGGTGTAGAGCCTGTAGTGCGGCAATAACAAAGGCAAAACGAGAAAGTCGAGTGAGTGAACCTTGAATTTATTTATATTGATGACTATCTCCATCTTTCTAGCCTCCATGTGAAGGATGTCGCGAGTATCCTGTGTGTCCAAATCCTCCCAAATCTGGCAGAAAACGTTTTTATCGATGTCAACCACTTAATGCAAAAGACCAGGCAGCACGTGAAGAGAGGCGTTTACCTGCAACGAAGACTAGACGAGTAATTTTCTGTTCTCTTCTTCTTCTCTCTTGTAAAAGTCTCTTTTTGATGTATTCTTTAGGGTGGTACAAAAGGTGAAGAGTTCTGCTTCACGCCCGGCTGCATGAATCTTCGTCCATCAGTGAAGAACAAGGGCAAGACGCAATTACGTCCTCTTTGCAATCCTTGTCGACTCATTCGGGAGCGTGCGTATGTGGATCCAGAACGCAGACGCATCTACAAGAGGGAGTATTACCAACGCGCCATCAAAACCAATCCTGAAATTATGGAAAAGAAACGACAAGAATCATTGGCCTACCACTATCAAATTAGGAAGAAGCAACAAGAAAAGTGGGAAGAAATGAACGCTGCTACGCCTGGTCTGAAGCATGTCTCACGGTCAACATCGAAATTTGCCTTAAGTGTGTACAGTGAGGTGTTCGACGCTCTTGCCAATTACAACATCAAGTTCAAGGCAGAGTTCAACTACCTTACACACCATTTCTATCAAAAGGCTCCCGGTTCTAACGAATCGGGTATTCGAGCAGATCTTCTCGTGGAGATCGATATGGGCAGTCAGAAGAAGCCGTTGACAATCGTTATCGAAGCCCAAGGTAAGTGATACTACTTGTCTCGAAATCTTCAAAGGACGATTTTCGATGCATATGTGTTTCTTTCTCTTCACAGGTGGTCAACATCGTCCTCTTCTTTTACAACATCTGGACACCGTTAAGGAGAAGATCAATCAGTATTATGCTGATCTTGCTGATTCAGATCAGGCTGTACTCCTCGACATCGTCAAAGAGAACAACACGATCCTGTTTCAACAAGATCTAGCAAAGGTACTGATGAGCGTCAAACAAGGCTTTGTGTATATCATCGTGTACGATGCACGTTCAGTGAAGAAGGCTATTGCTGATGCTCTTGTGGGCACGGAAAACATGCGGGTGTATTATCCCAGCGAAAATGGTGTTGACAAGGATGCTATCATTAAGCAATTCGTTGATCAACTTCTTTTTCATGAAGGATCTTGGCGCTCGTCTGGTAGTCCGTGTGCTCTTTTCGAGCTTAGCAGAGCCTTCTCTCTGACGTGCAAAGACAAGATGATGGAGAAGCTCGATGACGGTGATCCAGATGACGAAGAAGATGAAAAGATGGACACTAAACGTGAGTTATAGATTTCAAGAAGCTTTCATGACATTGCTCAATTTACTTTCAGAAGTGGCTGGTGATAAAGACGACGATCGGGCAGACATTCTTATGTGGCTTGAAGAAATTGATTCAAAGTTTCTCGACTTTAAACCCGTCGAAAATTTTAAGATTGATTTCACCCAAGGATATGCTGACTCGATCGATGGACAACCTTAGTTTTATTGTTTCGTTCTTTTCTTCTTTTTTTTGTGTTAATAAATTAACATTTATTAGTATAATTCAAATATTTAAACTGTACTGAACATTAACTGGGCTT